GCTGTAGAGAGTATATTCGACACAAAACATAAAAGTAAAAATTTGTACATAAGAACGTGGTTCAAAATAAGAAAATATTATAAAGATTATGTTATGTCGCCAATACTTTGTTTATAATATTTTCTCATTCGCTACGTTCATACTTCCTGTGAAGTCTTCATTCTTTATCTTGTCTATTCTTGTCACATCACACATCCATTTGGTATTAATCTAGATATACAGACAAGTATAATCACAATGTTTCCAACCACAGCATTAATGCTTGCGTGGGTGTGGAAACCCAGTGGGTAACCCACTTCACGTCTCTCTAAATACCGGACTATACTTGTTTAATTAGGGATAACTAGCTATCTAATATTCTCGTAATTTTACTACACCCACACTATGCTGGTTTCAAGAATGTAAAGTACTGTAAGTTCGCCTTAGATAAGCGAAGACATGTATAGATAAGAATAATTTCGTTATATCCGTTTTTAAGTAGGTTTATTCTAATACAACACATTGTTAAAATTAAAATTGTGAACATTACATACTATGATGTGCATAATGGTATCTACAGCGATAATTTCTTATTTTTGTAAAAATATTAAGTATTAATTTCTAATGAAACGATGAAATGTGCTGATAGACGTTTTCCAAAGTATCTGTTTCACAGCAGCTTTGTGAAATAAGATGTAATTGTGATATATGTAACTGATATTATATATACGGAGGGATATCAACCGAAATGGCCACATATGAATACCATGAGTATCACATGATGATGTACTGTACTTGCATGGTTACCTAAATGGTAACCATGCAAGTACAGTATATCATCATAAGATGGGCTACATAATGATGGAATACATAAGATGGGCCAGTTTGTTTGGCATATCAGTTAACTAAAAAAAATTGTTTTTTTTACTACTACATATGTTGATCAAGATTTTATACATAGTATATTTACATCTCTCTTTCAGTCCCCCTCTCAAACCTAGCGTTTCACTGCATTTCATGCAGCCTCCGCATATTCACTGACCCACATCCTAGGCGTTAACTCAACAACTGTTTCAATGCTTAGCAAGTTTTCGTAGGGTTGGTATTTTTTTCCATTTTTGTCTAAAAATAAAAAAAACGTGTTTACTTTTGTTTCGGATATCTAAAAAATAACTGTAATTGTGTCAAGTACGTAAAGTACGTTTTATGAAAATTAAAGACTTTTTGCTGTTGTAATCAATGTTCCCTCTGTTTCTACCCCTCCTAATCTTAGTCATTCAAAGTTGATTGGAAGAAATCCTTTATTTGGTATAAGTCCGCCATTGTACAATTCATTTCTTATGATCGTTTGTTCATTCATATTCAGTGTTTTTACTGGACAATAAAGTATTATGAACAAACCTCTCAGAAATTTCCGTTTATTGAACAATTATTTCCATTGGTATAAAGCTAATATCCTGAATCCTGAATTAATTATTTAGAATTAACCTCAGATCATTTTATACTTTATAAATATTCTCAAGCATCTGTATTTGGAAAGTTGGTATTTAAATGAAGTGAATTGTTTGAGACAACAATAAAATATGCTAAAAAATTATATGTATATAATTTTTTTTATTACTTTTTTAATTACCATATGGGTACTGCGCCCATCTTATAATATGGAACAATAGAAAGGTAATGATGATTGAGCAATGTCAATCAGGGATCGTCGTAGGTTTGTCATCATGGTTGCAAATCAGCTTCTTTTATAATGAAATCTTGAGCTTTGAAAGAATTTGCCATATAAATCCTTATGATATAATCTATATTTACGTCAATTTCCATTAAATTCCGTTCAACTGTTTAGTTGTAAAACGTAATAGACAGACACTTATATTTACAACGTTAGTATGAATGAACCAGTGCATTTAAAATATATGTCTCAAGTTATGCAGTTATCGAATTGGAAGGTAGCCCTAACGGGACTTGAGGCTTTCTATCTTAGCCTATCAATAGCTCGATAACTCGTTGAACACAGGCGGCGACGGCTCTCAAAGCCCTTCTCACTCTTATGTAATTGTGTTTTATGTTCATACGGATTGCTTGTGTAATCTGCCGTTAAAGTTTATGACTTATAATTGTGTTAATATATTCTAATATTATCGATATATATGCTGATTGTTTGTTTGTTATTTTTCACGAGGAAACGGCTGAACTGACTTATGAATAAAAAAAATGTAAATAGTATATGTCTGTCCTTATAATACAATCTATTTACATTCGTAATCTTGTTTATGAGATTGTATGTTGTCCTCGACTTCATCTACACAATATTTCATCCCCCTTTTCAACCCCTTCCAGATTATTTCATTAGATAAAAGATAGCCCATGTCCGTCCACTTGATAGAGTATCTCATAAAGCCGATTACAAATGTATTATTTATATAAATTTATTTGATTATCAATTAGTTTTGTAATGAGCCAAACTACTTGAATAGTAATTTGCACCTGTACAAACAACTATAAATTATTAAGTACATTTATACAAGCATTCAGTAGAATTGTTTATCAACACTGTTTTATGAGATACATATACATAGGATATTATCTAGATTTGTATAAATGGATGAAAATGTATATTACATTTTAATTTTTTGTAAGTTTAAATGTAGATAGTACTTAAGTATTCAATTTAGTAATTATTTTGTTTCTCTGTAAACTATGAAAATATGTACTGTAATGTGAAAATAAATAATATACTAAATTCCGTAATGATACGATGTGGTTATAGTTAAGTATATTTTTAATGGTTGATAATGGTAGTCTATCCTGGCGTATTTACCAATAATTTAAGGATGACTTTCTGCGGGGACTACGTGGATGGTACATAGGTGGCAATGAGGTACTACCCATCAGACAAGAGTAAACTTCCGTAATGGCGAATGTGGTTATATATAGATTTTAGTATAATTAGTTTTGGTTTAGTTTAGCTAATTACGTTACATTTGACGGTAGGCCCATGAATGATCTAATTTACTATGATTGATTTGGGCTTGGAAGCTTATTTGATAATAAACAGAGTGTTATTGTAATGCTTGAGTTCGTATTTTTACCTGCGGCTTGTAAAGTATATAAAAATGTAACTATTACTCCGTGTATACAGGATTAATACCTTTGATATTACATTATGTTGTCCACCATGATGGTAGTGGTACACCAGTTCAATCGGATGAGTTTCCCCATGATTCCACAATAAATAGTTAATCATGAAAATTTTCATCTTAAGGGAGTCTGCACGAAGGTTGTGATAAGAGATTGCTATTGCTTTATATATAAATTTTCTTTATTTGAGGTACCAACAAGACTTCAGCAATGTTTAAAATCTATTATTATCATTCTTTGCAAGTAGATCTGTTATATGTAATAGTTACTACGCATATATTATTATAATTACTTGTTGTCACTTATTTTGATACTGTATAAATAATGCTAAATGAACCTTATATTGAGAAAAAATGCACCATAGAAGTTGTCGAAAAAGAGCCAACCAGTCCGTTTTCTATAAATCCAAATCTTTCAGTAATATCTCTTACCAAAAGTTAAGGAATATTTGTATTGCAGATAAAAGATCGTTATAAATTTAATGTCTTCCGAGTTCAATGTGTCGTACTAAATAATGCCGATGTACCTATTCGTAAATTATAAGTAAGTAATTACTGTAAGGAAACTACTCTTTTTTTCTATTTTTCTGGTGACCCTCATCGTCAGTAAAACGAATGTTGTTACCTTTTTTCCACTTGGTTGAGTTCGTAAATACGTGAGTTGCACATAGGTCTTTGTTCTGTGATGTTTCATTGTTGTACCCAATGCCTATTCCATTGGTGAATTAAAGACATTATAGATAATTTTCCAATGACTTACATATCCTATGCATTTGGCGAGTATCCATCTATGCTAATATAAAGTGACAAAATTTTCTGCTGAAAGTCTGCGAATAATATTCATGTTTTCCGCGCGAGCAGCACTGTGGTATATAGCTAGTATTTTGTAAGAAGATAAGTGAAGGATAATGAATATTCATGACAACAAAAAAATCTGTATACATTTTTAAATAAGAATTTGTAAGGTACACATGTTTTTTTCTTTATTGTACAAAAGGCGAGCTTAATACCATATGGTATTCTCTATCAGCTAACCTCTTCAGCTTTTCTTCTGTATATTCACAATACAATATTATATATGGTATTCGATAAGTAGCCAAATATTCAGAGATAGAGAGCCAAACATTCTTAATATATCATTACTCATGCTAATCTTGGCAAAAGCTCCAAGTCAATTCGGGTCATCTATATACGAGAACATAACGTATTCCTTTGGAAGACCACTTCATAGCTAAAACTACTGTTATGTTATTTTTCATGGTATTAAATGATTGAAATTACTTATGTGGTAAATAATATCCGATATCTTAGCTGATATAGCTAACATATCGGATATTATTCAGCGTGTTAGCTATTTCATTAGGTACGTAAGGATATGTCTATAAAAAAATACTCAACTCTGTACCTCCATATACATTTATAACGTTGCCCAGAAACCTAAAGTTAATAAACTTATTAATATAATATAGTAGTTAAAATGTTTTTACAGCTTTTTTTATGCCACATTTGTTGAAAGATCGTCTATTATAATGACAAAAACAAATCCCAGAATAATAACAATAAACATAAAATATTCTATTCTAAAAATAAAGTGTGTTTCGTCGCGTGCCCTCGAATGTGTATCATTACAGTCCCTTGGCACTGCGCGGGCGCATGTCGTGAGGGGAGCCCCACGCACGTGCTCAATTACGAATACAAATCATGTCCAAACAAAACGACTAGACACGAAAAGACACAACGCCGGACGAAGATGTTCCTTTTCATGTTTCAATTGATATTAATGTGAGTGGCGAAGTGTCCTTATATCGATAAGAAGTCATATTAGATTGATAGAAAAACACAAATAAAACAAACTAAATATTTTCATTATATCTTCTAAACTTTTTTTTTTCAACATGAACCTCTCTCATACATTATTCCAAATATATCTTAATTTACACCACTTTCGTGTCATATATATATCATACCATCTTATTACCGTAGTAAATCTTTATTAGAAGTCTATAAATTCAGATTCGAAGCGGCAATAAGAAGCAGGCATTATTGTCTCTTCATCGTAACGTTCAAAATTACTCGTGTCACCCGGAGATCTATATTTCGGAATAAATGGCGGAGGAATCCGACAGTTAAGAAGAGCTTCCCACTCAATCCCTCTGAACCATCTGTGGTTCTTATAATCCATCACTCCATTTTTCATAACGCCAAATCTTTTAGTAATATCCGCCTGAAGTACATTTCTCACGAGATCTCTCAAATCGGCATTGAAACTAGAAGGACATCTGTATTTTGCGCCGACAATTTTTTCGTATGTTTTCATGGGATCAGTTGCATAAAATGGAGGATATCCTGCATTCATTTCAAATAGCAAGACACCAAATGACCACCAATCGACAGAAAACCCATATCCTTTGCTTAAAATTAGCTCCGGAGCAAGATATTCAGGAGTTCCACATAAAGTCCACGTTCTACCTTGTAGTATTTTGCAAAAACCAAAATCTGTGATTTTTAAGTAACCAGTTTTATCGATCAATATATTTTCAGGTTTCAAATCCCTGTACACTAAATTGCAGAAGTGTAGGTATTCTAATGCTAAAACTACTTGACTAGCGTAAAATTTTGCTAAAGGCTCTTCGAATTTACCCATTCTTCGGAGGTGAGTGAACATTTCTCCGCCTGGTACAAAGGGCATTATAAAGTAAATATAGCTATTATCCTTGAAACTAAATTCCATAGATACTGTAAAGGGAAATTTTATGGCTTCCAGAATACGTTTCTCATACAACGTGTGATCCACTTGCTTCATTTTTATTACCTTTTCTTTTTCCAGTACCTTCATTGCGTAATGTTTGTAACTTTTTGTATGTCTTAACAGTATTACTCTGCCAAAAGCTCCCGTACCTAGAGTTCGCACGCGTTCTAGTTCTGAAAAAACAATATCGAACGTAGGATTTTTACACCAACGCTGTTCAAATTCATTCTTTAGCTGTCTTAAATATTTAGTGTACTGCAATTGTTGTTGTTCCGTATAGCCGTCATTTACTTCCAGAGATGTAGACTGAGAGGGTGGACGGTACGATATTTCTTTCGATGGACCAACATTTTTACGCGAGTACATTTTACATATTTCATAAATGACATCACGGTAACAGTTGGCTCACAGCCATCGTGATTTATCTTATGCAATACCAATGCAGAATGTTATTTATTTGAAATTGTATCCTTCGTAGGTACTTACTTAAAGAAATCTACTAATGTTTGTACAAAATCGAAAGTAAACGAGGGTGTTGCGAGTACAGAGTGCGGGGTGAACGGACGGCCAACCCCTACCGATCAGCTGTTTAGGGGTGCCACGCCATACCGCGCCAGCCGGTCGCCGTCCCGACTAGTGTATTGATCAGACACGTGAAAGTTTTCTCCCTCTTCCATGCTTTGTCCAAACATATTACGATTTTGCCATTATACGACCAGAAAATTTTATATAACATATTATTATTATTAAGCTGCGTAACTAAACAACTGTTAAATTACTGTTGATGTTTACACTTATCTGGAACTTAAAAATCGGTAACCGTTAATAATACAACATTAAAAACAATAAGAGCTAAACAATACAAAAATCACAGCTGTAGAATTCTATTCGAAATTGCACAGCAGTAATTAACGAGTGATTACATTACAATTAATAGTACATTAACTTCTTTCAGGTACATATTACCTATACAGTTGTTGCTGCGTTACGTTTATTAATTTCGCACTACTATCATACAGGCACGCTTATAATTTCGCCGCAGTAATTCGAATTACTCTTGTATTATTTATGAGTGTTCTTATTAGGTATTAGTGGGTCGGCTGTCATATATAAAACTATAGCTGTTGGCATTTGTTACAATACCGTTAGTTAGCCATAACATGAAATACATTCTACTTGCAAAATTATATGTACGTACATTTTTTATTACGATGACGCATCAATAAAACCGAAATGACAGCGACCGTTGACGTTCTAAGAATAATATGATCCTTCGAGCCAGATGTTGGTCATGGAAAAGCGATAACAACGACATATGGTTTTAAATTATGTGAATTATTTACACAGGTCAGTTTTAATTATGTAAGAGACCAATTGTAATTCAATATACTCGTTTCATCGTAGGTGATACGCGAACGGGGCCATGCAGTATTATTGCTAACGTATAAAGGTATGCTCGTAACTCAATCCGGTTGCCAGGGCAGTGTATTGCGTGCGATTTCAATATTGATTGATTGAAAGACAAAAGCTAGTATTCAATAGTATAGGTTAATGACAGTAGAAATAGATATTATTCAACTTCATATTTTCGGCTACAAATGGGCAGTTTAACATAATTATTTGATGCAAAATTACGGGATTAAAACGGGATGAAAGGCATTCGATATAATAGCTTTTATTAAAAATCTGAATTTATACTTATATTTAAAATCAATTGCTATGCATAACCAATTTATTCTTAATTATTTATTAAAAATATTACGTCAAAATGTTCATATTCTTTTTTGAGATCTTACATTATAGCGCACTAAGCTACCGCTTTTTTGCTAAGATTTGCAGAAGTTTACCATAGTTAAATCATCTATGCGATTCAATATAATAATAATGAGGCTGGACAATTCACACGATGCCATTTAAACCCAAGATAAGGTCGTGAATACATTTCGCATCGGACGTGGATTCGAACCCGTGTTTATCGGAAGTAAAGCGCTGTGCTAATCCACTAGACCAGCGAGGTCGTCAATAATATAACCCACGCTAACTCGGTCCGGTCGATTATCGGATCGTGACAAATTTTACGTGTTAGAGTTGGGTTAATCGTGCAACATGTTGATGCAGTTCGTCTGACTTTAGATACCGACTTTACAAAATAATGCGTGAAAACTAGTTACTATACTATTAGATAACATTGCTACAGCCTAAACGTCGGGAGGGCAGTTGAACGCAGAGTTTCTATCTGTGTACAGAGAAATGGCCAATATTAAATCGACAAATCGGCCTGACCTAGTACCAAATCTTGTAGTCACTTTTACAGTCTATATAGTGTGAAGTTATGACTGTCAATAACAGTATATGATATTTCGTCGCGATGACTTTATTGCGTGATTTGACGTTGACCTCAATTGTCGTGACCACCAGCAGTGATTTCGATGTACTGACTCCAAGGTCAAGACAACAAGGGTCGCGAATCCCACGATTTCATTTTAAAGTTGACCACAATAAAACTGTTATTTTTTCTTTCTAATAAGCAATAATGGTATCCATATTGAAATACTTTTTATATATTGCTTTACGTTTGTTTATATTTTTGGTTTAGATTCGTTGTTTTACAAGACCGTTGTCTAAAAAGTAATAGTAAAATATAATAAAGCAGTAATAAAGTATAACAGATTTACGCGACTCTGTTTAGAGGATACATTATAGATTTTTCACAAGAATTGAACTGTTCTCGGTAACTGGTACTTACATCACTTTTGACATCTGATAGCCCATATCAGATGATGGTAGCCATATGGTGAAGAAATCGGTAAGCTATCCTTTCTATCTCTTTTTCGAACTCTTATACATAGATATTTAGATTAATAAGAGATACGACTATATGCTAACTAATAACGAAAAGTATTGTTGCCTACCATTTCTCTACTTTCTGAACATAGTTTTAACTACGCTAACAAATTTATTATATTTACAGAACCACCACCTGGTATTTATTACTCATGAGTTAATGGACCATAATCACTACATGTGGTTACCTATTATAAAATAGAAACAGTTAAATTAACCGTTCAGAGATGGACGGTGCGTTTTCATTGTAATTTTTACGCCCAGATTCTATTATTTGAAATTTGAGATTAGTGAATATAATTATTGTCTAACAAACGAAGACTCATGTAATGTACTGTAGAACAATTTAAAATGAAACTGACTTACATTATTTACGTACTAAAATTATTCTCTGTATCACCCATGGTTGACTGATAGATAATGCCACTAAGTGTTAAGTCCGCCTGATATACTTTTGAATTATATGCTTTAAAGTTATATAAATATTCTCTCTAATAAAAGTATTCTCAACCACTGAATCGAGATACTTGATTTTTTAATACATAATCTACTAAGAAAACACAAAACCTTGTAATATGATAAAAGCCTCCTGTAAACATTATTACTAATGAAAGAGGTTCCCATGACGACTGTAGTTTGTATATAACGCAATATCTCTACCAAGTGATCATCAATCTTAGATCTTAGATTTTCAAATAAAAATTTTACTAGGTTGACTCTAATCTAATGTTGTCCCTATGGAAATCGGTTATTTTTGGTATAAAACCATGGTTATTATAAACTAACTAAACCTTGAGTAAGTTTTCGTTCTTAGCGCCGAATATGACATTAAAGGAGGGGACAGAATCAGATTGCTTCAAACAGCGATATCTATTTGTTGCAATTGTATTTCGCTGTCCAGATATATTACGAGCATCGGTCAAGGTTGTGGAGGCCCACAACACAACGCGACTCATAACAACTTGGCACGTCACCAGTTTGCCGTACTGAGATTATTTATGTGTTACTAGTTTTACCAAGCGACTAGCGTCTTCAGTACCGGGATATACATATAGATAGATTAGAAAGAAATGTGAACCTTTGTCCTTTCTAATTATTTATGTGTGTGTTGAACGACCGTTTCTTAATCGCTAATGCACTAAGCGGCGACAATGTCATTTATAGAATCCTTATATTATTAGTGGGAGTTAATCAGGGTTAAGGTACCCGTAGTTACGTAGATCATATTCTTGAATGAGTGTTATTTTTTTCCATAACGCATTATAACATCATTACAAGTATTTAATTAATGATACAATGGTTGTTTTATACAATTTGAGTTACCATAGTCATCATCAATGTACTTCTGTGGTCTATGCTTATTTTAAGCTATTATCATTACTATTGGAGATTTCGTTTCATCTTTATGTACAGCGGCAGTTGTACTAAATAAAACATATGATTGCAATTTTATATACATTGTTTAATGCCTCATTTCTTTTTAGTAGTTGATACAATTATTTTTATACTTCCGGTGACAATGTCAGCTACTCAGTATAAGGAACTAGCCGGAAAAGCCTAGTGGAATACCGACTTAAAAGGGGCTCGTTAGCATTACAACGTATATACGACGGTTATATTTCGAGGACACTAAACATCGTAAAAACTAGACTACGAACTCGTTTCCCAACGTTGATGGCTGCTTGTTATGTTGAATATTTAAGATTTGCTAATTTCAAACGTGTACTGACGTCAATACAGAAAGTAAATAATATTTTTTATTAAAAGTAAAAAAAAATATGAAAATTACTTGTGATAGGTGGGCATAAATATTTTGAAGTAAATCGTGACAGATAAGATATCATTGACACTCATATGCTACGCAGCAGATACAATTGATTCGACCTTTACAATAAATCTCAATCGTAGTACTGCTGAAATGTATCTATTCTACACATATGTTCCATACTATTATATATCTGAAATTACTATAAGTAATCCCTATATTACTATACTAGCTGTACCCGCGACTTCGTCCGCGTAAAATAGTGACCTTGAGCAAATAATAAAAAATATATATTAATAATCTAACCCAATAAAAAAGTTACATCGTTCTAGCTTCAAAAATGAAATTTCCATACATAATTCCATACAATTCAATCAACAGCCAAAAACTAAGTTTTAAACTACTATCTTTAAAATGAAGATACTTCCATACATACCATACATACATTACATCTCCCCTTTCAACCCCTTATAACCCTTTTTCTTGGTTTTTTAATGCTACTTATATTAGTGTCATCATGTACCAATGATAAGATGTCGCTATACTGTAACCATTTATGGCTGAGTCTTGTGGCGGTAGGTACTGATATTTTCTCAACAGCCTAAAAAATGGGTTTCAAGTTTCTAGCTTTAAAAAATGACAATACATGCATACAACATTTTAACTCCCCTTTTGACCCTTACAACCCATTTTCGTTAATTATATTTAATCAATACGCAAAAAAATAAGATTGAAGCTTAAACTTTTAAAAAATTCC